GTTTAGAAGAGACAGAAGTAATAACATGTTGAAGACGTTAACTAACTCCCCCCTCATAGACTACCTGGCCCTGCCCATCCTCAATGAAGGACTTGATACTCTTGATTAAAAAACAACAAAGTCATGTGACTGCTCAGAAGTCACAGTCAGATTTCTTGTGCACTCAGGCACAACCCTAGCAACCAATCACACTTTGCACATTGTAAATCCCTGGGGATTGGAGTTTAGAACTCAGGTTTGGTAATTAGCTGTAACACCAACTGCCCGATTTACCACCTTTACTTGGGTGGAACTTTGACTAGACAGCAGGGAATGAGAGAAGTCCGAACACACTGAGTGGCAGGTGAGTATGGTAGGAGGACTCCTATGACAGTAAGAGAAGAGTATGTGTTTTTTTAAGTCAGTGATGGTGTTAATAGTGATGCTTCATCAAAGCATTAATTAAGCCTCGACATTTATTATTTGTATTGCTCCATTTTATAGACAGTTAAACTAAGGTACTGAAAAATTATGCAATTTGCTTGAATTCACAGTGACTGGAACTCCTAACTGCCAGTCCCGCCTGTTCTAACCCCTAGATAACACTGTAAAATAATGATAAAGTTGAAAATAAGACGTATATTGCTGGCAGAAGAGCTCCAGTCTAGTGACAAAATATTAAACATCTAAAAGAATAAACAATATGCATCTAAAAATTAAAGTCTCTATCAAATACTATGCAAAAGAACTATTTAAACAGCAGTAAATGGAGACCCTACACTGCAAAAAGCTGAAGAAGCCATTCTTGAAAATGACAGGCAACGTGTCCCTATGTGTAAATTCTGAAAAAGCAAGCTTTTGGCAAGTACAAAAGCAAATGAAATTTCCTACAATTTAAAAAATTTCAGTGACAACAGTTTTATTGAAAAAAAAAATAAACAACCCCATGCTGATTTTGAAAACCAGTCTTGCAACTCTAAGTTGAAATTGACTTGAAAAATACAGAAGTAAACACCCAGGATACATAGCAAGTAAATTGCATACTCATTCATCAAGTAGGGTGAAACTAGTAACCTAAATAAATTACACATTTTTACAACATGATTTTTCAGTAGAGTATTTATTTAAAATCAAGCTGTTTAGTCCCCCTCCCCCCCGCCCCTTCTAAAGGTGGTGTGTTGACCTTAAATTTTTATTTTCTTCATTTTTTTCTGTGACTCCATGTGATCCTACCTTAACAGATTCTAATTAAGGGACAATAGAAATGATGCGCCCTTTGACAGGCAATAATCGAGATTCTGAGTGAGCAGATTACACGACTGAGTAGTTCCTGACAATAGAAGAACCGGTTTCCGGAGGGGGGAGTGAGGGGGCGCGAGAGGAATCTACCAATATATCATCATAGCACAACTGAGAACGAATAGAAATAAACTCTCCTTCCATCCCCTCATAACTCATTGACATTGTAGGATCTATTTGGCCAATGAAACATGAATGATTTATGAGGAGAGGCTGAGTGAACTGGGATTATTTAGTCTGCAGAAGAGAAGAATGAGGGGGGATTTGATATCTGCTTTCAACTACCTGAAAGGGGGTTCCCAAAGAGGATGGATCTAGGCTATTCTCAATAGTAGCAGATGACAGAACAAGGAGTAATGGTCTCAAGTTGCAGTGGGGGAGGTTTAGGTTGGATATTAGGAAAAACTTTTTCACTAAGAGGGTGGTGAAACACTGGAATGCGTTATCTAGGGAGGTGGTGGAATCTCCTTCCTTAGAGGTTTTTAAGGTCAGGCTTGACAAAGCCCTGGCTGGGAAGATTTAACTGGGAATTGGTCCTGCTTCAAGCAGGGGGTTGGACTAGATGACCTTCTGGGGTCCCTTCCAACCCTGATATTCTATGATTCTATGAATTGAGAGGTGCCTAGATTTATTTTTTTTCAGTGACGTCAATGGGAGTTTTGTCAACTTGAGTGGGAGCAGGGTCAGGACTAAATCAAGGCCTCCAAAGCACCCAAATAAATGCATACTGTATGTTCATTAGCACCACAGTAGATCATGAGTGTATTTACTGCTAAAATGCTACCCACATAGGCACTTTAGAAAAACTATAGACAGATGTCATGCCAAGGGTATTCTAAGCCGAGACTGAACAGGCAGGAGACATAGGCCATGTTTCTAGGTGTGTACGCCCCAGGAACTAGTAATGGCCTTCATACACCAACCCTTGTGCAGATCCTTAATGGTACATATAACTTTGTGGACTGGGTTACCTAAAGACAGTATACACATACAATGACACTCAGGGTCAGTTCTAGGGTGACCAAATAGCAAGTATGAAAAATTAGGATGGAGGTGGGGGATAATAGGTCCTATATAAGAAAAAGCCCCAAATATCAGGACTGTCCCTATAAACTGACTGGTCACCCTCGTCAGTGCTAAGGGCAAGCAGAGCAGTTGCTGTGGGTGCCAGCTTCCAGGGGGCACCGTACAGCTGTGCCACTTGAATTTTTTGGCTGGTTTCCACCTCTCCCTGCTCAACCACTTCTGCCGACTCTGCTTTTGCAAGCTGTATGTGCGCTCATTCTTGAAATGGTTACATCCCTTTTCCCCCACAATGGCCAAAATTAGGCCACAAGGTTTTTGTTCTTATTCCAAGCCCTGCTCTGCACTCTTTTTAAACCAGTCTAACTATTTCAGCTGGGGGAGGGGGGGGGTGATTTTTGACCAAAATAGGTATATCACCTACTATGTACACAGTCATACCAATATAAAGATGTTTGATACCAGCATAGCTTATTCCTGTACAGGAATAGCTACACTGGTATGGTTTAAGTGGTATAACTTTCTAGTGGAGATATGGCCCAAGTGTATTACCAGCAGAAAAAAAGCAAACGAAAACGTTTACATAGCTGTCTGACAAACGCAGAGTTTGGAAATATAACATTAACTGCAGTGCTCTGGGTAAAACCCTGAACGGAGTAATCTTGGCATATAAATTTTGTCTAAAGTCCTGAGCTTCAGATGGCCATCTACGCACCTGCTACGCAAAAAAATCCAGAACAATTTAATCTTTTGCAATCTTTGATGACACATACATTTTGAGTAAGTGACTGTTAGGTAATCTGAGCTATTTCTTCCTGTTGCTGGGCTGAAAGTACCTGCTTCATGAATCCCATCACAGAGGGTTATGTTTGCTGATTGCTTCACATCATGCAAAGTTCTATTTCCAGAGGTACTGCCATATAAAAAGACATAGCAAGCTAGTTTCCTCCTGAGGCATGGAATGAATCACATCCTGTGAAAAAGCAGGTATTCTATCTCCTGTGAACAGTTTCAAGATGATGAGAATTTAGATAGCTGTAATTGACTGTCTATAAAAGAGGAGAGCTGTATTAGCTTAGTTTGTGTGGATTTTTTTTTTTTTAATCTTGTGGAATATTTTGAATGTATAAGTATCTGCAAAGTAAGTGCAAGCGAAGGTGTCAGTGACAACCCTTAGCTCTTGAATTTTTCCGCAGAATTGTAAATGTACTGATGTATGATATTCATATTAGAGATTCGCTAGCAGAATCTTATTTTCATTTGTCATGTGTTTTAAATATATTTTTATTCCAAGCGCTATCCCACAGTACCACTTTGATTTTTTAAAGTCCAGCAATTCAAAATATGGCTTAAGTGACTGTCAGCTACGGCACTTGGAGTTGTACTTACGGCAGACTGTAGCAGACCCATTTCAGAAGCCAGTCTTCTGGGTTTGGCACTCCTACTCTTGGAAAATCGCAGAAGCAGGGTTCTTTTGAAGGAGCTTGACATCTTTCATGCAGAACTTTGAATGTCCAGAGTGAAATTCCCAATGATCTGAACTGATAATGTTACCAACTTTTAGCTGTCATAAAATCAGAATGTACTATTAAAGATTTATATTAATGTATCATTTACTTACACTGTAAACTCTAGGGGGCAAAGACCATCTTTTTTTATTCTGTTTGTACAGCGTCTAGCACAATGGGGCCCTGGCCCAAGAGTTGGGCTTCTAGGTGCCACTGCAATGCAGGTGGTAATGTCATTGTTATACTGCCACCTAACATTTGTTTTATTCAGTTTCATGAACCAATGCGTTTTTTCACAGAAATCTAACTGTGAGTGTCGTTTTTTTGTTTTTATTTGCTAAGTGAAGATTCATTTGTAAGCATCACTTTGATACTATTAAATTTACATACTAATGCTTACTAACAGAAATTTAGAATATGAATCCACGGCCATCAATTACTTTTTAAATGGTTGAAGCTGTGTTTCATAAATACATTTTTCCACATATGCACGCAGGTTTTTTAAGCAGCGAATAATACAGTGACCTCAGTTACTTTTGTCTGGGGATACTTTATTGGGAAATGTTGTCCAATGGTTACAGCAGGGTGCTGTGATCAGGATTTATTTGCAGGGCCGAGCTCTCTTATTGACTTGCTGCGTGAACTTGGGCAAGTAACCGCCTCTCTGTACCCCTAGTTTATCCAGGGGTAAGCAGAAGAATATTTATTTGTATTACAGTAGCACCTAGGGCCCCCATTGTGCTGGGTGCTGTACATACAGTGAAACAATCCCTGCCCTAATGAGCTTACTATCTAAATAGACAAGACAGATAAAAACAGGAAAAAGCAAGTATTATGCCCATTTCAAGAGAAAAAAAATGAGAGAAACTCAGTGAGTTGGCCAAGGTCACACAGGAAGTCTATGGCACAGCTGGAACTGACATTCAAATCTACTGAGTCCCAGTCCAGTGCTTTAACCACAAAGCTAAAAGGGATTTAATGTGTCTTCATTTATCTTCAACTACAAGTGTAAAATATTAGAGGCCAAATTCAGCCCTCGTCCGTGTACGTACCATTCCCACAGAAGTCAGCACTGGTTACACATCCATAGCAGAGGCAGAATTGAGCCCTTATGGCGTAGATGGCTTAATGCTGCTTAACTAAGCTAATAAAAATACTGACCAAAAGAGATAAAGCACATTGACAGACAAATGCAGAGGACAGACATTTTATTTAATTCACAATAATACACCTATTTCGCATTTGAGTATTTAATGGTTTATAAAGATATTCAGGAAACTGACCTGAAATCAGGCTAAAAAAGCTCAATTTTTGAGAAATCAGAAACATTACCAGCCATTTTGGACTTTGCTGCTGAAAGCATGAGCATGGTGTTAGCCTGTGCACAAGCTGGTCCTTTGAAGAGCACACGTCTGCCTCCAGGGTGCTTTTGTTATAAATACATTAGCAAGATTAGACATTGTTTACTTCTAAGAGGGAGGGGACAAAACACACGGGAGTTCCAAACTCCCAATCCTGGTTATTATTTCTAAGACACTGCATTATGACTCCAAAGCAGAGTTCCAACAGCTGTTTTGTTAAAATAAATATTTATCCTTAAACTGCACACAGAGAGCATAAAGTCCATTGTTATTACATGCTGCTTTGTGCCCTGTGGGCCAAATTCTCTGCTGGTTTATTCATGTGATCCAGGAAATTGGTGGAGTTAAACCAACCGAGAATGTGTTCCTTACTACTTCACACCGTGTACTTACATTGCCCTACTTGATACTCAGTTGTGATTCGGCTGTACGTAGGCATGTGCTTATAATTACTGAAAAATCTGGAAAAGTAAACCAGATCTTGAATTTTCTAAAGGAATCCCAGCTCCTCAAAAATGATCTGAGCATGGATTTCCAAGGCTGTTTTTCTTATTTAGTGATGTCCACTGCATTGCCCCAAACCCTGCCTACTGATATGAAAGGCTCTGCTTTCAACAGACCTGCTCTGGTTCCACTGTGCATGGGCTGGGAGGAAGGCAGAATTTCAGGGGTTATGTACTGCTCACTCACCATGAAGCCTAGCACTGTGGAAGCTTCCTGCATGGCTGTGGCTCTTGAAGGGAGATGGGGCATGTGCAGCAGGCAATAAATTCCTGCATGTGGAGGAAGGAGCACAAAAACCGTGGGAACTCTTCCAGCCACAAGCCCAAGTCGTGGTCCTACAGCAACTCATTTGTGGATGCAGCCAAAGGAAAACAGAATCCCTAATACCCAAGTCATCTACTCAGACTGGGCACTGGAAACAGGTTATGCCTCTACATACCCACAAAATAGATGTTTTGCTCTTGAAAAGCATGAGTGACATGTTTTAGTTTCAGAAAGTCAACCTTTTCCCTTCCCACAGTTTCTAAATGCTTGTAAAACTGACGTTCTCTCCTGCCACGTTTTTCTGCATCCAGAAATACTATGTTAAGGAAGGACCTATTGCAAATTTAAACAGATTAATAATATATGCTGTATAATCTTTAGTTATAAAAAAGTGCATTAGGGTCTCCAGCTATCATGGCTGATAAGGATCATCTAATGAACTCTTTAAAAAATGGTATTATTTTCTTAGCGGTTGATTCACATCTGTAACTAATTGTATTTGATTTTGTTGCCATTGTCTATACAATGGTTGGAAGGAAGGGAATAACAATCACAAAACTAGTCAATATTATTATATTTAACAACTGAGTATAATCAACAACAAACATTTGAAGTGACCAGGTTAACTTTTAGTCAAAACTCATACACAGTAATCAAGAACAAATAAATAATTTACTTCATAAAAATAAACTCTACATCTCGGAGCTTCAGAATATGATTGCAAGTCATTCCAAAAGCCCATAAGGCAGAATGGGGAGAATATTTGAAACAGATATTATATAAAATGCACAACTTTCTTTAGAATTTATTCTAAACAATTGCACTAACTTTTTTCACTTCCCACTTTTATTCTCAAGCCTTTGTGTTTGAAATAGAAATAGATGGACAAATCACTATTTAAAAATGCTTTTCATTTGTTTCTTAACCATGCGTAACAGTTATGAAGTCTACAGGAGAAGGAACAAGTTCTCTTTTGAAAGCAGACCATATAGTAAGTCACTGCAAAAGGCAGTATATTATCTTTAAACGGGCCGGGGGGTGGGGGGGAGAGAGAGAGAGAGAGAGAGAGAATTTTAAGAGATGAAAGTAGAGAATGGCAATTTTTGTTGTTCCTCGGGACATGATTAAGTTATACACACTCTTGGGAAAAAACTTTGCTATTTAGAGTCACACACATGCCGTTAGCTCAGGTAGAGTTTGCTTCTTTCTCCACTCCATCTTCATCATCAACAACCTAAAACCAAAACCCAGAAGTTGTTTAAGTAATTATTCTCCACTTTGCTTCACTAGGACAACACAAGAGCTCAAGAAAGAGACCTAAGTATAAATGACAACATTTGTTATTCAGACACAGTAAATTACATTGAACCTGATCTTAAGAGCTACTTAATTCCCAGAGAAAGCAATGGGAGTAGCAATTGTTCAGCACCATTGTATGATGATGGTCACATGAAAGAGGTGAGCCACTCACTTCAATCAAAATGACATGAGGAGATTTGACTGAAATAAGAAGGTTGTGTAATGCTAAGGGCAGACCAAGTGGTTACGAAAGCATTGAGAACATTCATTAACACAGACCAGATGTTTAATTGGAGAATGTATCTGAATTTGTATTTTTGCAGACCCAGACTTATCTTAGTACATACAGAGCAAACATTTGTTCCTAGTTTATTATACTTATCAGAAGAAAGTCCCCAAAACATCAAAATATTGTTCACTGACCAAAAAAAGTTTTTTCCAAAAACTTTCCAGTTATAAAATCCATCACATGTTTCTGAGACTAGAGCGAAGCAATACATTTGAAACTGAGTCAATAAAAAAAGGAAAACTAATAACCTTCATGTGCTGTGTTACTGGAACAAAATAACACCACAAAATTTAGAGTACATAGTACAAATGCACGAATGAGGAAAAATAAAACCAGCTGTAACTATGTGAGGAAAAAAAATGTGTCGGGCTTTTTTCCCCACCTTATTCCAACAAAGACTCGATCTGCCAAACCATGCTAGAAAAAGATTAATAGATTCATAGATATTTAGGTCAGAAGGGACCATTATGATCATCTAGTCGGACCTCCTGCACAACACAGGCCACAGAATTTCACCCACCACTCCTGCAAAAAACCTCACACCTATATCTGTGCTATTGAAATCCTCAAATCGTAGTTTAAAGGAGCAGAGAATCCTCCAGCAAGTGACCCGTGCCCCATGCTACAGAGGAAGGCGAAAAACCTCCAGGGCCTCTTCCAATCTGCCCTGGAGGAAAATTCCTTCCCGACCCCAAATATGGCGATCAGCTAAACCCTGAGCATATGGGCAAGATTCATCAGCCAGATACTACAGAAAATTCTTTCCTGGATAACTCAGATCCCACCCCATCTAATATCCCATCACAGGCCATTGGGCCTATTTACCATAAATATTTAATTACCAAAACCATGTTATCCCATCATACCATCTCCTCCATAAACTTATCAAGTTTAATCTTAAAGCCAGATAGATCTTTTGCCCCCACTGCTTCCCTTGGAAGGCTATTCCAAAATTTCACTCCTCTGATGGTTAGAAACCTTCGTCGAATTTCAAGTCTAAACTTCCCGGTGGCCAGTTTATATCCATTTGTTCTTGTGTCCACATTGGTACTGAGCTTAAATAATTCCTCTCCCTCTCCAGTATTTATCCCTCTAATATATTTATAGAGGGCAATCCTATCTCCCCTCAACCTTCTTTTAGTTAGGCTAAACAAGCCAAGCTCCTTGAGTCTCCTTTCATAAGACAAGTTTTCCATTCCTCGGATCATCCTAGTTGCCCTTCTCTGTACCTGTTCCAGTTTGAATTCATCCTTCGTAAACATGGGAGACCAGAACCGCACACAGTATTCCAGCTGAGGTCTCACCAGTGCCTTGTATAACGGTACTAAAACCTCCTTATCCCTACTGGAAATACCTCTCCTGATGCACCCCAAGACCGCATTAGCTTTTTTCACGGTGTCATAAATATAAAGGGAAGGGTAAACCCCTTTGAAATCCCTCCTGGCCAGGCGAAAGCTCCTCTCACCTGTAAAGGGTTAAGAAGCTAAAGGTAACCTCGCTGGAACCTGACCAAAATGACCAATGAGGAGACAAGATACTTTCAAAAGCTGGGAGGAGGGAGAGAAACAAAGGGTCTGTGTGTCTGTCTATAGTCTGTCTTTGCCCGGGATAGACCAGGAATGGAGTCTTGGAACTTTTAGTAAGTAATCTAGCTAGGCATGTGTTAGATTATGATTTCTTTAAATGGCTGAGAAAAGAACTGTGCTGAATAGAATAACTATTTCTGTCTGTGTATCTTTTTTGTAACTTAAGGTTTTGACTAGAGGGGTTCTCTATGTTTTGAATCTAATTACCCTGTAAGGTATCTACCATCCTGATTTTACAGGGGGGGATTTCTTTATTTCTATTTACTTCTATTTTTATTAAAAGTCTTCTTGTAAGAAAACTGAGTGCTTTTTCATTGTTCTCAGATCCAAGGGTTTGGGTCTGTGGTCACCTATGCAAATTGGTGAGGCTTTTTATCCAACATTTCCCAGGAAAGGGGGGGGTGCAAGTGTTGGGAGGATTGTTCAATTGTTCTTAAGATCCAAGCGTCTGGGTCTGTAGTCACCTAGGCAAATTGGTGAGGCTTTTTACCAAACCTTGTCCAGTAAGTGGGGTGCAAGGTTTTGGGAAGTATTTTGGGGGGAAAGACGTGTCCAAACAGCTCTTCCCCAGTAACCAGTATTAGTTTGGTGGTGGTAGCGGCCAATCCAAGGACGACGGGTGGAATATTTTGTACCTTGGGGAAGTTTTGACCTAAACTGGTAAAGATAAGCTTAGGAGGTTTTTCATGCAGGTCCCCACATCTGTACCCTAGAGTTCAGAGTGGGGGAGGAACCTTGACACACGGCCATATCACACTGGCGGCTCATAGTCATCCTATGATCAACCAATACTCCAAGGTCCTTCTCCTCCTCTGTTACTTCTAATTGATGCGTCCCTCGCTTATAACTAAAATTCTTGTCATTAATCCCTAAATGCATGACCTTACACTTCTCACTATTAAATTTCATCGTATTACTATTACTCCAGTTTACAAGGTCATCCAGATCCTCCTATAGGATATCCCTGTCCTTCTCTAAATTGGCAATACCTCCCAGCTTTGTAACATCCGCAAACTTTATTAGCACACTCCCACTTTTTGTGCCGAGGTCACTAATAAAAAGATTAAATAAGATTGGTCCCAAAACTGATCCTTGAGGAACTCCACTGGTAACCTCCCTCCAGCCTGACAGTTCACCTTTCAGTAGCACCGGCTGTAGTCTCCCCTAGATGGATTCTAGGGATTTAATCTGACTCCTCTAATTTATTAAACAAGTTTTCCCATTCAAGGTTGATTTGTGGTCCAAGACCCATGCAAGTTGCACCTTCTAAAAATGGTTTCAGAGTAACAGCCGTGTTAGTCTGTATTCGCAAAAAGAAAAGGAGTACTTGTGGCACCTTAGAGACTAACCAATTTATTGGAGCATAAGCTTTCGTTGAAATGGAATTCATTTGCAAATTTGATACAATTAATTTAGGCTTGAATAGAGACTGGGAGTGGCTAAGTCATTATGCAAGGTAACCTATTTCCCCTTGTTTTTTCCTACCCTCCCCCTCTCCTCAGACGTTCTTGTTAAACCCTGGATTTGTGCTGGAAATGGCCCAACTTGATTATCATACACATTGGAAGGAGAGTGATCACTTTAGATAAGCTATTGCCAGCAGGAGAGTGGGGTGGGAGGAGGTATTTTTTCATGCTTTGTGTGTATATAAAAAGATCTTCTACACTTTCCACAGTATGCATCCGATGAAGTGAGCTGTAGCTCACGAAAGCTTATGCTCAAATAAATTGGTTAGTCTCTAAGGTGCCACAAGTACTTCTTTTCTTCTAAAAATTGAAGTTTTGCAGGAAGCAGAGGCATTTAAAAGCATCCAGTCCCTATGGAAATGAAGTTTTTCTTCAGTAAATTAAAAAAAAAACCACCCAGAAATAACCTGTTGTAAATATCAATAACTCCCAATGCCATAGATGTTTCTGGGTTAAATACTGTTATTTCTTTTATATTGCCCCATTATCCATTTGCTTAAAATACCATATCATCGGACTTGCAAAATTATGTACTTTTAAAAAACTGTATTCTAAATTACTTGTGCAGAACTCTACATGCCTCCGAGGGGGAGGAGGTCCTGTCTATACATCAAACACACACCTTTATATTCACTAGTATTCACATACCTGTTCCACACCTTCCACTTCTGGAATATAGAACTGTAGCATGTTCTGTATCCCATTCTTCAGCGTTATGATAGAACTGGGACAGCTAGTGCACGAACCCTGCAACTTTAACTGTACAATCCCATCTTCAAAGCCTTTATATATGACATCACCCCCATCTTCCTGAACTGTTGGCCTGAGGAAACAAACAGAAAATATTACTGCAGGTAATTTTTGTTCCAAAAATTTGTAAGAGTTAATTTAATGCTCATATAAGAGTGAGTTCTAGGAACTAAAGCCCTTTCTTTTTACACAAACTGGTCTAACATGGGCAATGACAGAGCAGATGTCTCCTTAGAGTGCCCCAGGTCAACATGTCCCAACCCTGACCTGAAGGGACCAAAGCTCTTTCTCTGGGGCCGTATCTACACTACCACTTATGTCAGCAAAAGGTACGTTGCTCAGGGATGTGAAAAACACCCCCCCCCCCCGAACAACATAAGTTTCACAGGCGTAAGCGGTAGTGTGCGCAGCACTATGCTGGCAGGAGAATGGCTCAAGCCAAAATAGCTGCTGTCACTCGTTGGGCGTGGTTTAATTATGTAGACGGCAGAGCTCTCGTCTGTTGGCATAAAACAGCTACACAAGAGATCTTACAGCAGCGCAGCAACCTTAGTAGAGCTGTGCTACTGGAAGCTCTATAACGTACACATAGCCCAAGGCCTATTTATTCCTTGGCTAATGAGGAAATGTGCCAACTTTGACGAATTTTGTGACTGGGAGCTGGCCTGCGATCCCTCCCAACCCATGTCACACAGAACTAAGAGTTAGCCGTCAGATAGCATCAACAGTTGACAACTCTTGACCTGGGCTAGTGACAGAGACAAAGGCTTGACAACTCCCTAGGCATCCATTCCTATGTAAAGTTTGAGAATTCCATCATGTGTTCTACAAGTAAAAAAAAAAAAATTAGCAGCAAGTACTTATTGAAGGAAGAGAGCAAGATTTTTAGTTCTGAACTGGTATTTTTGCAATTGGCAAGTTAATATGGAAAGAGAGAGCTACAAGCTTGTAAAACATCTGTCTGGATTTTTACAACCAATAATAACTGAGTAATCACATTTCTTTACATTATACGAAGAAGTTATAATTAACTCCCACGATAAACAGCCTTCACTTCCACCCCCATAGCAACATCCTGAACTTTCCAACAGGCATAAATTTTAATGGTCACCAATTCACTCTCCTCTCTTCTGTATGGTATGAAGGAAGAATCCTCAGTAAGCTGTAGAACTGGAGGATTTTTCTTGCTAAAATTGTCTTCTGTGTAGTATTAGAACTTGTTGCAAACTGAATGTAGTAGTATGGGGAATAATTATGACATATTCTAGAGGGTTCTGAATGTTTGTTGTGCTTTGTATACAGAATGTATGGAAGAAAAAGTATGTTTGGGCCTGATCTGGTTAGTTGATGAGGCATCTCATAGGATTGGACCCCAGAGCTATTGACAATTCCCCAATCTAGTCTCCTGTCACAATGGACAAATGACTAACTTTGTAAATGCATCCCCATAGCAACATTTTTCCAGATGCCAAGCTAAAAAGCGTCATGTTACTTGAACAGAAGCTCTTTATACCAATTCCCAGAACAACACTTGAGAACTTCACCCCTGCTGGAATAATTTAGGATTTGGTCACATTTATTATCAGCAGCATCAACAACTTACACTAAACTAATCACCTCAATTCCTGGAAGCCAACAAACAAAAAGCAACTGATTGAGAACTCATTCTTCCTTTATTTGAAACAAGATTTTAACATGTTACGGCACAATTCCAGTCTTCCCTTCTTTCCTCCCAGAGTGCAGCTGGCCGGTGTCAGCTGCCTCAGGCTTGCGGGGCTCGGGGCTGTAAAATTGTGGTCCCAGAGCTCGGGCTCCAGCCTGAGCCCAAACCCGAACGTCTACACCACAATTTTACAACCCCGTAGCCAAAGCCCCGTAAACCCAAGTCAGCTGACATGGGCCAGCCACGGGTCTTTAACTGCAGTGTCGACACACCCTCCTAAGGCTTCTGATTTCTTTGCTTCTATTTTTGATGTTCTTCAGTGTAAACAACGAATTCTCTGTGTGTATCACTGGGCTTATACAGAGCTCCTGGAAGCTATTCAATAAGGATATTGACACAACAACATAGACTACTGCAAATGGTCTGTTCAACAGCCTCCTGGCCAACTGAGAAAAAGGACAAACAATTTTAAAAGAACTTCTGTGGAATACAAAAGAGGCAACTGTGAATTTTAAGGCTAATGTACCATGGGGGTTTTAGGCAACCACATAACCCATGACAGCAAAGCTTACTTAATGCTGTCTTTCAAATCATTTCTACATACCAGAGGTGCCCAAACTTTGTTTTGCTGAGCCACCCCCACGACCATGCACACCTCTCTTTTTCTAAGCAATGAGGGGAGGAGTGCCTGGTGTCACGGTTTCAGGGCAATTGCATCTGTGTTCCCCACTCGTGGTCCCTTAAGGGCACCCACTCTAGGCTCCTAGCTCCTCAGCCATCACCTTTCTTGGGCAGAGACCTGCGTCTCACTCCCTCTTGCCCAGGGGATTATTAAGGCTGCATAGTTCCCTGCCTACAATGTGATCTCTCCAGCTGCCTAAAAGGCCAGCAACTGCACTTGGCTTTCTCTCCAGAGGCTCTGACCAGTGTATTGCCCACAATTTTAAGTTACCACACAGCTTTTTCTAAGCAAGCACATTTATTAAGGTGAAAGCATGACAGAGAAAACATGTTAAAACAATAAAAGAACCTACACGCATGCTAAAAAGCTTACCAGGGGTCACCCGCATCTCCAACCTCAGGCTCCAGTGGGTTGTTTTTCCCCTGTGGTTACAAGTTCGTAACAGTCTAGATTCAGAACCAGAACCCAGGCTGGGCACTTCAGCTGTTCTTTACGCAGCTTAGGCCTTTGATCTCCAGTGTCTGTGAACTGGTACAAGTCCTTCCTCAGGTTGTAGCTCCAAAGTCTCGCTTTTTGCATAACCAGAGGTGGGGAATTTGCATTAAACCTCTTTCTAGGTATTCCCCAGAAAATACTTCACTTCACACTTATTGTCCCCAAACGTCCATTCCCGTCTAGCACATTTTCCATATAGTCCTTTGAACTCCCATGCCTCACATCCCATCTCTGTCCTGGAGAGTGACATATGACCCCAGTCCACAAACGTTGCATTTAACGCACTGGACCCCAAAGATACTCAATCAAGGATATGCAGAAGATTGCCATGTGCGTCACACCTGGTACCTGCGAGGGCCAGTTGGGGAGACCGAGTACTCACCACATGGCAGTTGAGGAAGCCTTTTGCTCCCTGAAGCTGCCAGCACTTGGCTCCCTGCCCAGCTCCATTACCCCTACGCAGGGGAAGCAGATGGGGCTGAGCTGAAGGGCCAGGATCAGGAGGAGACTGAAAGACTGCACCCCTTGAATACTGACCTCCCTGCCGGACACAACCCGCTCCTGACCCTGGCACTTCAGCGCGACCCCATTCGCTGTCCAGCAAGGGAAAGAGACAGCGCTCCTAGCCTTGGGGTTGCGCTGAAAGGCTGGGATCAAGAGAAGGCTCTGTGTAGCAGGGGGAAGGGAGTGGCGGTACTCCTGGAGTGCAGCCTTCAACTTCCCACTCGCAGAGCTCCCACCAATCTCTCCTGCCAGTTGGTAGACACAGCTGCAGCTGTGAGGGAGTAAGATGGGCAAAAAGCCTAGTCAAAGCAGGCAAGACCACCCCTCAGAGTTCTGTGTGCTTCCCCCTGCCAGACAAAGCCTCCTCCTGACCCCAGCCTTCAGCCCAGCCCTGTCACATCCTCTGCCCCCTGTGATAAAACTTGGCATGCCCCCAGGGGGAGGGGGATCAAAGGAGGACACACCCCAGTTTGAAAACTTATATATATACACACACACAATACATATAATTAGATAAGATTTTCCTCCTCCCCTCTATATCCCTTCCTCTTTGAGAGATGAGTTTACTATATTTCACTATATATATATATGTCACTATATTTCAGCTGAAATATCTCCCTTACAATTTATTTTTATAAGAGCTTTCAGAATGCAACATTTTATAGAAATTATAAATAAAAAAAGCCCAAGTTGGTCCATTTTCTTGAGAAATGCAAATTAATTCTATTCACTTACACCGTACGTAAGAGTGTTTGCTCCTGGAATGTGAGATTTGTAGAAGAAGCCATAGTCGGTGACAAGAGGACTTCTGAAATACATTAGGCATTTCCCCACATCCACATTTCTGTATTTCTTATTTTTTTTCTGTTCACTATGGGAGGTAGTTAAAGAACTGTACAGGGGGCTGACCACTGTAAATGAAGTAGATACAGCATTCCTGTGCCAGAACAGGTAATCCCAGTCTGGTCACTTAAGAGGGTGGAGCAGCACTTAGGGGCTATACAAGATTAGGGAGCGAGAGACCAGTCAGGAATATTCACGACACTAGAGGTCTCTGGGAAAAGCTGCAGAGAACAGAAAGCTCACTGCAGGCCCTCCCCGAAAAGAGGGACAAATCATCACAGAGCCAGTGGAGGGACTGGCCGGCTGACCTTCCGGGGCTGAAGAGCCAGTGCTGGGAGGCTGAAAAACGCTGAGAGCTAAGAGCCAATGGCAGGGCTAGCTTGCTGACTTTCAAGTGCCAAAGCCGGTGCCGGGAGGCTGAAAAGGGTAGAGGAATAGGGAGCCAGGGGAGAGGCTAGCCAGAATTGTCCTTCCTGAGCCAAAGAGTGCCAAGGCCAGAGAAGGCTGAGAGCAGCAGAGGGAGATGCCAGCTGGCTCTTGGAGTCAGAGAGCTGGAGCCATAGAGCGTTGTGCTGGAGAGCAAGGGCATGCTGGGGTTGTATTCGATGTATTGCCTGGATTATGGTGTTGGAATTTATGTGCATGGGACTTCCTTTTGTAATAAATTAAACCCACAAGGGCTATTTACACTCAAATACACTTCAGGGGACTATGAAGGAGAGAAAGAGGCAGCTGTGCCTGTCCTGCCGCGGTTTGCAGCAGAAGGATGCTCCAGGTGGGGCTGCCTTATGACAAGAACTGAAAACCGTCTCTTAACTGCTCTAAACACTATACTGGTGACTACCAGATTCTTATTTCAAGCTGTGTCAAAACCCAAATATAATTGCTTTAGAAAAAATATAGGGATAAACGTTTATTGAAGCTCAGATGACTTCTGTGCGTGAATTTCTGAGATATAAATTTGAGATGATAGAGGTTACCCTACTTTACTGAACATGAAATATTAAATGATTTAAAACTCATCTGAGAACAGCAAGATGTGAAAAACAAGGGAGATGAATATATGAAGGGGGAAAAAAAAAGAGTGCTCACCACAAAGTCGAAGATCTTTCATTTTATTTTTATTATTATTTTTAGAGATTTAGACTGCAGTAGCACCTAAAGCTATAACCAGGTTTGTCCCAATGAACTCAGTTTAAAGAACACACTCTACTACGGGCTGCAGGATCCTACCGTCTCCTAAAATCATCTAGGAAAGTGAAGTTTGAATTGAAGGGGTCAGTTTGATTCAGTCAGATCCTTCTCTGAACTGGACACTGTTTAGCACAAAGCTAGTTTTCACAGGGAACCTCAAGGTGCGATTTTCAATGACAACATGAACATGGCTTGTCTGTGCACCAAGCTGAAATATGCCACGTTACCCATTTAATTTGTGTAATCCTAAAAATATTTAGAATTGCATCACTCTGAAATAATCCAAAACACGCCTACTGTGTGACAATGCTTTAAACTAGCAATGTTTAAAGTTACCTTATTCTAGTATCCAGAAGTTCCTTAATCATTAATACAACTTCGTCGTCATCTTCTGATGCAGCTTTAGGGGAAAAACAAATGCAAATAAAAATGTTGACAGGGCCTTATTATGATTAATACTATTGTGGTAAAATACTTGTAAAAACAATATTCTTTTTCCATGATTAAGTTGTACCAACAATACATCACCAAAGGATGCTTCTGACAGCTAAACTCACAGCTAAGTCTAAGATGGTGTAATTTACAGCACATACATGACACTTTTTAGATTTTCCTTAATATTCTCTCTCTTACTCACACATAAGCATAACCACGGTTCTTCTCAAACCACAGAGAAGCCCTCTGACAGATCAAGCTGGTGTTATTTCACATGCAGAGAGGAGAAGAGAGAAAAGCACTTAACAGGATGGGATACAGATATGTGGGCTAACACAGGCAGCCCTGTATTACAACCTACTCCTCCCTCTGGCTCCTCAGCATGTAAGTTACACCAACACAGATTTCTCAATAGCTACACACAGGGCTGTCTCTAGCTATTCTGGGGCCCTGCCCAGCACTCACCGGCAGCGCAGCTGGGGCCGGGTCGCTGCACTTCCCGCTGCCGGTGGGCTCTGCTGCAGAGCTCAGGGAAGTGGGGGCGGAGCTAGGGCAGGGCAAGGGAGAAGCAAGGGTGGGGGCCCTAGGGAAGAGCGCGAGCAGGGGTTGGAGCAGCATGCAGCTGCGCAGGGCAACAGGGTGCTCTACGCAGCTGCGTACTTTGCGACTGGAAGAACACCTGACGGCAACAGATGGGCTACCAGGACACCTCAACACAGGCAGAGTTTCCCTCCAGCTCAGTTTAGCAACTCTTCTCTGCATTCTTGTTGGAACCGTATTGCAATTTTACGATTAATCCATTAACACAGGGCATTTCAACACTTTACAAAGGAGACCAGTGATTTTTATAGCGAGCTTGTAAAAAGCAGACTGTGTCGCAACCTCCAACAGTTTTGTACACACAGCAACCCAAGCACTTTAAAAAAATGTTTCAAACCAAAAAAGGCGAGAACAGCCTTGGCCAAATCCTTTGCTGGGGCAAAGTCAGTGTGGTGCCATTGAAGGTTGGAGGTTTTTCTAAAACAATGGTTTTTAACCTTTTTTTCATTTGCAGACCCTTAAAATAATGTCAAATGAAGGTGCAGACCCCTTTGGAAATCTTAGACATAGTCTGTGGACTCCCAGGGATCAGCAGATCACAGATTGAAAGCCACTGTTCTAATAGATATGCTCTCAGAATTCTCTGGGGGAAGTTCTATGGCCTGTGTTATACAGGTCAGACTAGATGTTCACAAGGGTCCCTTCTGGCCTTGGAATCAATGAGTCTATAAAATTTGGCCTCAGCATTGCACTAGCTGAGAACCTGGCCCCATATTCATAGTCAGACAACTGCTTTAAACCGTTTGTGTATTATTAGTTTAATTGCACCTTAGGCAGACTACTGAATCTTGCGTGTTAATTTTAGCCATTTATACTGTTTCAGTTATTCTCTTCTCACATGTTTTCTGTGAGGCAAGTTCATTTCCTCTGAACATGATCTATCAAACACATCAACTTAAGAGAGGACTAAGACCATATGCAAGCATAAGCCAGTCGTGATGAGTTCCATTTACCCGTGTCTGTACGAGGTGCCTCTTCAGTAATTACAGGTAAACCAGAGGCAAAGAAATCCATTATGGTTGCATAAATATCTGGTTTCAGTAAATTCCAATCCCAATCTTCACTCACCTATAAAAAAATTAAGAAAAAAACCAAATATAGTGTTTCTGCCTCCTTCCAAAGATTAAACTTACAGATGGCCCTTTGTCCATCTTAAAGGCACCTTGCTGGGCATTAAGGCCTGAAATTTAAATGTTTCAACAGTTTTACCAAATCCAACATGAAATAGAAAAGTTTTCATAAAATTATATTTAAAATATTCAGTAAAGAGGTCTAGTTGTTTGGATTTAAGCAGTTGCCTGCAATGTTTGCCAGCCAACTGCTGTATAAAATATTAGTGTATAAAAACAAACAACGCAAGATGAAAAGAACCTAAAATCACAGATGTTCTGCTAAGTTTTATTTGTGCCAACAAACTGTTTTTGAAGCCTGTTTACGTTTCGGTTATGTGTTCTATTTTTGACATCTCATGTGTTGTCCACTAAATGGCATAGCGACTATACGGTGTTTATGCAGCTATGGATTTATTACACAATACCTCCTAGGTTGGGTGAACTCCTGAGTCCCAGATGAATAAGCGTTGCCAGTGGGAGGCAAAGGAGGGATTTTGAGGCAATACATAATGCACTTGCTTGCATTTATGTGTATCACTGTTCTTTGTTAGATAGATTTTCACCTTCACGTGTTTGTAATTTTGTTGCCTACTATTATCTAGCCTAAAAGGATACGAACCTTAACACTACTTAATATTTTACGGAACTTCTCTTTTAGCGCGAGTAATAAAAGGACTATTTCTGGAGCAGAGCTCTATTCACAATGCCACGTGCATGCTAGATCAGACAACAGTGATGCCTTTAGCATGCCAATCCATTTGGATGCCCAAGATCTGTCCCTGGCTACAGAAACTTACTTAACCAAGTATGCCATAGTAAATATGCACATCCGTAAAATGTGAGGCTTTTTATTCAAATTTAGAGGAAAGGGAACCACAAAAGGGCAAAATGTTTTATTAAAAGTTTACTCAACTGACTTCTAACATTTTGATTAGAACTGAAAAAGTGCTGAGCACCTACAACAATTCAAGTCAAGGTAAGTAGTGACCTTCGGCGGCTCCGAAAATCAGATTCAAGAGACAATATTCTCAGAAGCCGTAACTAGAACACAGTGCCCTTCATAGCTTTATGGTAACTATATTTCACTTTATGAGAGATAATGTTGAAGAATTAAATTAATGCCTGTAGTGAATATTTTGAGGACTTTCTAGGTAAAGGTAAGATTTTTACTGTACCTTATGCAAGCCAGGGAAGGATCTGCAAGGAGTCTGTTCCTTTCACCTCTCCCTGCAGGCTGGACATGCATCAGCTCATGTTTAGACCATTAGAACCGCTTTTCCGCTTACCTTTGTGACTGTGATGAAGTCTGGCCCGAAGAAGACACTTTTAACTCCTTCAATCCTGAACAACTGTCTGCAAAAGAAAGTTAACCACAAGTCTGCAGTCACAAAAAACACTAAACTAAAAGTTTCTATCAATCATGTTCCACTGTGTTTCTTGCTTTCCTACTAGAATACATTTCTAGAGGGCAATAATCACTTAAGAAAATAAAACCATTAAAGGAGATTGGCAAAAGATTCTTCTACAGTTTAAGTGCTTCTATTCTTTATCCATGCTCATGGAATTCTGCAGCTTGGCATAAGTGGAAAACATCATAACGTGGCGTGTGATACTGAACAGGGAAAAGTAACATGCTGTAGAAGTATGAAAGAGTTAATGCTCATGTCTCTAGCTCCTGTTTGAAGCCATGAGGTATTCTTTAGCCATAAAACTACTGAATCAGCATCAAGATGACCGACACACACATCCCAACATTCTTGGCATGCAACTGTGGAAGGACAGGGACTCTTCTTTAGAACAGTAGATTAGGTTGCTGAAAACTTTTCATTATAATCAATTCTACTAAAAGCTGTTCTGAATTTTATCATCACACAATTTTGTTGTTACACAAATTCAGACCAGCACTCTAAAACTTTAGAACCAGACAGGAAACAAGAACTCACTGATTACAAACTATTTTAATTATAAAATAATTGAATGAGAGTTTTAAAGGCAATCTCAACAAATGCTCAGTTTTGTTTGTGTGGCCCCAGGAGTCAGTGATGTCAAATCTATAGAACCTTAATACCTAGACCACAGATTAAATGACTGATTGTTGTCACACACAGGGATATGATAAAAAACAGCTAGAACAACCAGAAGTTAAATCTGGCATTTTCACACAAAACACTGTAGGTAACCCTAATCTTGAAAACAGAGACAGGATACATTTTCAGTAAATCTAAATAGCTGAAAAATAGACTTTCTTGAAGGGGAAATCTATACAACTCAAAGATGCACAAATCAGATACTTTACCACAGGTTATGTATAGCAAAGGATATTTAGGAGAAGAACTTTCCTACACATGTAACAAACAATTTTTAAATGTTAAAAATGTAGCTGTGTGTGTTGTGTGTTTTTTTAAAATATCACCACACCCTAATTTGCTTGATGGACTAATGGTCCCAAAATTTTACTTTAAAAATATTTTGGAGTTACACATTCACTCCAAATCATCTAAAGCTAGCATAGCTGATATTATTCTTTGGAAGATTTGTATTCTCACACCAAAGCAAATGGGCATCCCAATTACAAAGCCTGGAAACTGAGATATAAATGGTAGTGCAATAAACGCTTTACTCTAACTGTGCTGGTAGGCAGGCCAGCATTAAACACAGAATCACAAGATGTGAATATTCCTTGTACTTCCTCAACATGTACTATACAGAAGTTCATTCTCAGACATTTTGCAACAAAATCATTTTCCTCCAGTTATTTGTACTCTGCAATCTAATATAATTTGGTTCATACACATCCTGGTATTTCAGCACTCTGCTAATGAGATCTTGGATTGTAAACAATCTCTACTGGATGCACTGAAATACCTTTCACACTGCATCTGCTGTTCTATACATATGGGCATTTATACTACCTTTGAGCTAAAGAACTTCATTTGAAAAGTTCCTGTCTGGCTACAAATCAACTATAGCATTTTGGAAATATTATAGCAATACATTGGATAATGCTACATTTCCCGGAGAGAGGACTGCATTTGGCTGCTTTCACTTGTGTGCAGTATTTCCATCACGTAAAAGAGCAAATTAAACTATGATCTTGGGAAGGTGACACTATGGCATTTCCATCTCTCACCCTCCCACTGCAGCCTCTCAACCCACATACATAGCAGGCATAAGGAGCATTATCTCCAGAGGCTGCTGTTGATGCAATGGCAGATACCAGGAGCAGTGCTCACACCCACTTTTCCCAGAAAGCAAGTTTGCAACAGTTCTCCAATGCATCTCATCACCATCAGCAGGCGAAAGACTCCTAAAACTCCTTCCCATCCCATTCCCCCACTTTCAGACAGATTTTTAATGGTGTCCCAGCCCTTTTTTTTACCCAATGAAAATATAGCAAAGTATTAGACGGAAAATAAACTGTCGTAAGGATTCATAGTCCAAGTGGATTGAAATGTATTAGTCCAAGTAAGTTTCACTATGGATACTCCAGATCTACGGCACTGAGGGCCTTTGCAAAAGGTTATACATGAAAACTAAAAAATCATTTTAATTTTTCCACTGTACTGTTTGTAACATACCCATATTTTAAAGGAAGAAAAAACCCAATTGGCTTCGAAGCTAAGGTTAACAGTGTCAGAGTCGTACTGTGCCAATATTAGTAAACTGTTTCAGTTTCACGTACCACATTTATGGACACTTCCTTATGTTGTCTGTCTCATTACACTGTGAGATGGCATGACTTTAATGGTACTACTAGTGTAAGGACTACTCACCTGAGTAAAGTTTTGCAAGATCTGGCACACAGGTATGAGCAACAGTATATTTCCTTCTCAGGAATACTGAATTCTATCATGATTTGATTCAAAACAATGAAATAGATTACCAGGAACTTAGTTATTACATTGACAGGCACAGTATAAAAATCTCGATAGATTACTTTGGCTATCTGTAGGCATTCAATCTACTTTATGAAAAAAAGAAGCATCCACAATGGAAAGGCAGCAAATCCTCTCTTTAACATTCAGCTGCATGTATGACGACACTTGTATATAGATGTGTTTCAGTAACTAACACAGCTAGTCCCTTGAACAAAGTATGTAATGCTTTAACACACCTCGCTAAAGGTGAGCAAAATGCTGCAGCTGGTGTGGAGAAATCCATGGTCCTCGATTCCAGTACTTGTCTTCCTGGAATAAACTTCAGACTATTTGGATTTGGAGTGTCCTGAGTCTGAATAAACATGCATCTTACTGAAAAGAGAAAGGAGGAAATAAATGTTCAAAAGAGAAGTGGCTCATATAAGGAATAACAGAGATCCTGTTTATTTAGCCAGGCAAGGCTTTGTTTGCACAACACAGATTTATTAAAAACAGAGGACTGTGGAACATTGAAATTTATCACGCATGGCTCAGTGAGTTCCATCAAAGTACCCATATTGACATAAAGATCAACCAATTCAGTCACTAAATTGAAGAGACAGATGAAAAGCTTAATGAAACCCTGTCCCAGCTAGTTTTAATCTCAAACTAGTTTTTATTCCCTGAGCAATTTGCTGCTCACATTCTCTGTGTTAATCTGAACAGAGCTAATACTCTGCCCCTCCTTTTTCAGAGGCTCTCTTTTTAACATCCACACTAAGATACGATTTGTGCCCCTTCTCTATACTATTCAGGTTGTTATTCCATGCTCACCACTTTGGTACCTGAGCACTGTGCGGGCTCTCCACTCCAACATCATCACCCTCCTATTAAGAACACTCCAGATGCAGGATTTGGGCAGGTGTACTAACCCTCTGTTGTAGATATGCTAATGTTAAGATCTTTTTGTTCCTTTTCCAGCATTATCAAAAAGGAGAAAGTATCACAGAAATTCAGTATTCAGAGCAAGCACAGAATTCTTTTTAATTACCCAAACTATCTTATCTGAATGGACAGCTCTACCAGTTTAATTAATCTGGCTCTGATACCGTGCGTATTGACTTTCAGCAAACATTTTGTATTAACAATTGATACTAAAATCATTTATAAAAGCTAGTAAAAATATCCCCAACATTTATGAAAAAAGTATTTAGTTGTTTACTCAGACATTATTATTTTAATGGGATTTTGCTGGACTGGCCAAACCTTAACAAAAAGAAATAGACTATACTTTTAGCCAAGGATATCAAAGTGCTTTGCAAACATTAATTAAGATTCACAATGGAGCTGTGCAGTTGGTATTACAATAATCATTTTACAGATTGGAAATCTGAGGTACAGGGAGGTTAAAGGGCATGTGATGTGACACAGAAAGTAAATGTCAGAGCTGGATATACAACCCTACCTCCTTACTCTCTACATTAACCACTAGATCACTCTCCTGTCCCCTCACTGCCATATTTCATTGCACGATTCGGATTCTCAAACCAGCACATCACTTTCAGCAAAGGGAAATAGATTTTTTTTTTTAATTAGAAAACCCTAGGAATATGTATAAATTCTGAGTACATGCTATTTGGGAAGCAAGCTTATTTAACTTTAGAAACATATATGGCTTAGAGTCAACTATTTTTGTTATTTTTAAAGCAACAAAAAAAGAGCTGAAGCTTTCACTTCCTAAATGGCAATTTTGATCACGACTCCTAGTATTAGATGACAAATCAGGCTATTTATAAGTCGCCAAATTTCCTCTGCAGGTGTCTGTCCTGACAACTCATTTGACTTTAACCCACAGCATCACCACACACGCAAGCTCTCAGGTTTCAAGAGAAAGAGTAAAAGAATTAGCATGGAGATGCTCAGTGTTAACATGCTAGAAATAGTCCTGACTTAGCAACTAAACGCCGTTTTCTGTTTTGTCACACAACTCCAACCACAAGGGCTAGAAACATCTCCCTGATCAGAGTGGCAAAGGAAGCCACCTCCAATGTGACAATATGACAAATAGCCTATAGTGATGGAACTGGATGTGGTCAACTGAACACGCCCTACAAATTTACTGACTTCTCTACTGCAAAGGGCAACTGACAGCAACTCTACAGTCAAATGGCTAGCCTACAACACAACAGGATACATCATCCTCTCACAAAAATATTGATGAGGGTTGCTATTGTACCCAGGATCTTCTGAAGTTAGAAACATTGGTTTTTGAAAAAAAACCGTTTTCCTTTCTCCAAGTTTATCATCATCTACTATTTGTAAGTAGCATCACGCACACAGACTAAACATATTGCTTCTTTCAAGTATCTGGCCAATATACCATGTACTTTCTTCTGTTTGATCATTTACTGAAAGAGAAAAATAAAGATAGAAAAAAGACAGAATTTAAAGGACATTTGTAGATCCGTATGCAGCTGACTAGAACCCTCAGAGTCAACCAGTAAACTGCTTGATTAAATCTGAATGTTAAAAAAAATCAATTCTGAGTTGGTTAGGTCTGAGGCCCTCTGCAATCTGCATCAAAAAGCATTTGCTGCAGTGGCCACTGAGACACTCATTTAAATAATATTTGCACTTGTGCTTGGTTCTATACAACAGGCACCCGCATAATTAAAAATGTGTATATACACAAATCTCTTTCTCCACAGCATGGCAGAGTCGTTGAATCCACCAGGCAGCTGCAGAAGCTGATCTGCAATTTTCAGCAGCACAAAAGGCAATGGAACCCTTTTTTTTCGGAGCACAGAGTCGTACAAAATATTGTAGGAGCAGATAGAGTAAACTGGAGTTCCAGCCTGCGGTTTTTCAGACTACATTTGCAGATAATATTAATTTGGCACGGTACGGGCATGAGTTTTAGTGTTAGTGAAAGGTGCTGGATTGACAGACCTTGCTACTGAAGTCATCTGTACACACACAGTATTTGCAGTGGCAGTTCAAACCTCTCTAGGTTGCCCTTCCAACGTCCCTCACATCTGTCCTAAAGGAGGAGCCCTCTCCATCTTCACGACCCATCACCCTCTCTCCTGAAACTGCTTCATGGTTAATGCCAATTATGGTGAATGTGTATTACAAACCTGGTGGCTGAACTTTGTGACTTTGTCCTCACCCATAACTATTTCACATTTGGGGACAATGTATACCTTCAAATCAGCAGCACTGCTATGGGTACCCACAAGGCCCCACAGTATGCCAACATTTTTATGGCTGACTTAGAACAACGCTTCCTCAGCTCTTGTCCCCTAATACCCCTACTCTACTTGCACTACACTGATGACATCTTCATCATCTGGACCCATGGAAAAGAAGCCCTCGAGGAATTCCACCATGATTTCAACAATTTCCATCCCACCATCAACCTCAGCCTGGACCAGTCCACACACGAGATCCACTTCCTGGACACTACGGTGCTAATAAGCGATGGTCACACAAACACCACCCTATACCGGAAACCTACTGACAGCTTTTCCTACCTACATGCCTCCAGCTTTCATCCAGACCACACCACACGATCCATTGTCTACAGCCAAGCTCTACGATACGACTGCATTTACTCCAACTCCTCAGGCAGAGACAAACACCTACAAGATCTCTATCAAGCATTCTTACAACTACAATACCCACCTGCGGAAGTGAAGAAACAAATTGACAAAGCCAGAAGAGTACCCAGAGGCCACCTACTACAGGACAGGCCCAGCAAAGATAATAACAGAACGCCACTAGCCATCACCTTCAGCCCCCAACTAAAACCTCTCCAACGCATCATCAAGGATCTACAACCTATCCTAAAGGACGACCCATCACTCTCACAAATCTTGGGAGACCGGCCAGTCCTTGCTTACAGACAGCCCTCCAACCTGAAGCAAATACTCACCAGCAACCACACACCAGAACCGCTAACCCAGGAACGTATCCTTGCAACAAAGCCCGTTGCCAACTGTGTCCACATATCTATTCAGGGGACACCATCGTAGGGCCTAATCACATGAGCCACAATATCAGAGGCTCGTTCACGTGCACATCTACCAATGTGATATATGCCATCATGTGCCAGCAATGCCCCTCTGCCATGTACATTGGTCAAACTGGACAGTCTCTGCGTAAAAGAATAAATGGACACAAATCAGACGTCAAGAATTATAACATTCATAAACCAGTCGGAGAACACTTCAATCTCTCTGGTCATGCGATTTCAGACCTAAAGGTCGCAATATTAGAACAAAAAGACTTCAAAAACAGACTCCAACGAGAGACTGCTGAATTGGAATTAATTTGCAAATTGGATACAATTAACTTAGGCTTGAATAGAGACTGGGAGTGGATGTGTCATTACACAAAGTAAAACTATTTCCCCATGTTTATTTCCCCCACGCCCCCACTGCTCCTCGAACGTTCCTGTTAACTGCTGGAAATGGCCCACCTTGATTATCACTACAAAAGGTTTTCTCCCCCCCTCCCCTGCTGGTAATAGCTCATTTTAAATGATCACTCTCCTTACAGTGTGTATGATAACACCCATTTTTTCATGTTCTGTGTGTATATCAATCTCCTCACTGTATTTTCCACTGGATGCATCTGATGAAGTGAGCTGTAGCTCACGAAAGCTTATGCTCAAATAAATTGGTTAGTTTTTAAGGTGCCACGAGTACGCCTTTTCTTTTTGCGAATACAGACTAACATGGCTGCTACTCTGAAACCCTTTTCTGTGACCAAACTAACTTTATACAGATCACTGAAGAGACACACGAAACTAACAATTTTTGATCACTAACAAAGACTGGCTTTGAACCAGAAATCCAAAGCTGAAAATCGGTATATGTTACTACAATCCCACGAGCTACGTAACTACAAGTTTTAGTAGCTGAAGTGCTTTTCAGAAAAACTAATGTTAAGAGGTTAATACTAAAAACTGCAAAATTGTCATTTCGGTCCATTTTAATTTCTCAGCGCCTTAATACGGTGTTAGTCAAATTAAAAGAGAATTGGGCAACATGCCTAACAAACTGACAGAAGGAAGAGCAAAATCACTTCAAACCTCCCCAACACCTACAATTAATCAGACAACTCAAAATTAAAACAAAACTTTTAAATTTCTGTCCCAAAGATGGCCAGAGACGTACAGAAGGATATATTCAGGAGCACACTGCTCCTGATGGTAAAGGCACTACACCTCCACCCTTACAAGATTATATCTTGGGATGGTCAGCAGTTCCAGTCTTCCTGATTTCAGCTGTTGAACAGGACACAGGATAGCAGGAGGTCTCAGAGTGATCTTACGCTAAGGAGTTAAACTAATATGTATAAGCACAAGTATAGTGATTTACATCTTCAAAGCTCTTTACAAGCCTCAGCAACCAAATGAAATATCCCCATTATTATACCGATGGGGAAACTGAGGCGCAGAGTGTAATGGACTTACCCGAGGTCATATAATGACCAGAATCTGGTATACAGTCTCCGAGTCCTGGTTCTAAACTCTGACTGCATGATTTAACTACCTTTCCATTAACAAAAAATCACGCAGAATACTGCATACATGTGAGATTTCAGTAAAAAGGAGAATTTATTCTTTCACCATCTTCTTGAGACAAATCTCAAGAGAGCTTTACTTACTTTATGACAAAAATTAAATTTACCTGTATTATGTGCTATGGTGGATGGAAGAAACGGTTTTCTTCGTGCAAATTGGCAGAGAGGCTGTTTAGTTGTTAAGTTAAAGCCTTGTAATGTCATGCGACAGAACCTAAAGAAAGACAGATTTTACCAACAATCTCTCAATTAAGAATTTAGTTTTTCCCATCTCCCAAGAAAAGAGAATTTTGTATGCACCCAATACCACTGGATTTCAGCAAGTTGCTTAACCAATTTCCTCCCTCTTGAAGGAGAACAGGTAATGTAGAGTAGCTATCAGCTACAGGCTTATTTTCCCCTCCTCTCCACATAATTGTTGGAGGAGAAGGGAAAATGGGGTTTCAATCCCTTCTCCTTCAATTTCCAGGTGGCCAAGTAACCATTACACAGCAATCACCTTGATTTAAAATTCACCAGGACACTGCTGTGGAGAAAGGACAGCAGCTCCATTGAAGCAGTGTATCAACAGAGCTATTCGTATCCAGCAGCGGGAGACCAGGGCCCTGGAGTGGAACCAGGCCAGCTATAACAGAAAATTCTTGTCGATGCTGGTCAGGTAAACCACACCACCCATCTTGCTGAGACACACAGACCTCGAGTGGACAAAACGGCGAAGAATACACTGAAAAGAACAAACTCGAAGAGGTGAGAAGATGGACTAAACCGATTTTCAAAAGTTTAGGTGCATATTTGTACTCAATAATTACCATGATTATATAGGTAATAAACAGGAATACAAAAGAACTGTTCATTTTCCACATGCAAATTCCTGTTTTGTGCAGTCACTATAATCACCTGCACAAACTTGGCATGAAAATATCCACAATTTGAAAATGTGAGCTTTGACTTCTAACTTCCAAGAATCTTCAGACAATGATGTTGTAATTATATAGGGACAGATATCTTTATCTGTTACTAACAACCACCTTGAATTATTACAGCAAAAATATTTTAAGATCTGATCCAGATTCCTTTTTTTACACTGCTTACTCTTTGCTTCCCTCTCTCTGGGTTTCCACAATGAAAATAAATGAAGTCAGTTTCACACTTAGAGTCAGTTTCCCTTTCAGATCTCAGCAGGAGGTTGTTGGTTTTTTAAAACAACTTTTGTATGAGTTTACCAAATTTAAGCAATTGGGATAATTTTGAGTTACTAGGGTCCTTTTAACCCTCTCCTCATTGTAGAGATGTAGAAGTTTCTCCCTACCCAGCCTTTCAGTGATAGGTCATAGGGAACCTACTAGGGATGTAAATAAAAAAGTTAACCGTTTAAACGATTAAAAAGATTTCGTTTAAACAGTTAACCGATTAAAGGGCCGACCCGGTCGGCTGGGGGAGCTCTGGGCCGGTGGTGCTGCTCCAGCTGGGCCGGCCGGCCGGGGACTTAACAGTTAAGGTTATGCTGTGTTTGCGCCTTGCCGATCTCAACAGGGTCCTGACCCATGACTAAGGTTCCTCCGCACAACGACAACACAAATAATAAAACCATCTTCCCAGTTACACGCTGGGTGGGGAGAGCAGATCAGGTCGATAGTTCATAGTTTTTTGTTTTTTTTTAAGGCCAGAGGAGACCATTGTGATCAGCTAGACGTCCTCTGCTTCTCCATTGCATGGGGGGGGGGGGGGGGGAAGAGGAAGGTTTAACCCCTAACACCCCACTGCGGGGGGTGGGGTGGAGATTAACCTGTGACCCCCCCGAAGCCTGGCCCAAGGGGGAGACGGGGGGAGGGGGGACGGGAAAAATGAGGAGAGGTGACCCGTAGGGAGAGGGAGAAGGGAAGTTAACCTCACAGCTTGGAGAAGACGTAGGGGAGGGGGGAGTTGGGGGGGCGACCCGGGGGGGGGGGAGTGGAGAAGATGCGGGGGGAGTTGGGGGGCGACTCACGGGGGGGGGTGGAGAAGACGCGGGGGAGTTGGGGGGTGACCCGCGAGGGGGGTGGAGAAGACGCGGGGAGGCAGTTGGGGGGCGACCCGCGGGGGGGGTGGGAAGACGCGGGGGGCCAGTTGGGGGGCGACCCGGGGGGGGGGGGGGGGGGGGGGGGGTGGGGGGCCGGGGGGGGTGGAGAAGACGCGGGGGGCAGTTGGGGGGCGACCCGCGGGGGGGGTGGAGAAGACGCGGGGGGGCAGTTGGGGGGCGACCCGCGGGGGGGGGGTGAAGACGCGGGGGGGCAGTTGGGGGGCGACCCGCGGGGGGGGTGGAGAAGACGCGGGGGGGGGCAGTTGGGGGGTGACCCGCGAGGGGGGTGGAGAAGACGCGGGGGGCAGTTGGGGGGCGACCCGCGGGGGGGTTGGAGAAAACGGGGGGGAGTTGGGGGTGACCGGCGGGGACACCCTGCTTCCCCTTGTCTGGAAAGGGATTCACCCCCCCAGCGGGGGCGGCGGCGACGAGCCGAGCCGAGCCGAGCCCGCGCCCGGGCCGGGGTCACCTACCGGCCGCCCAGCCCCGCCGCCGCCCGCAGCCACCGCCCCGCCGCCGCCATCTTGTCCCTCCCGCGGCGCCGGCGGCCGGAGTCAGGGCCGCGGGCGCGAGGCTGCCCCGCCCCGGCGCCTGCGGAGGCCGGAGTCGGAGGCGCTGGGGCGGCCTCTGCCGGCCGCAGGGGGGAACTGCAGCGCGGGCGGGCGGGGGCGGGGAGTTGAGGGGCCGCGGAGTCCCGGGGATGGGGCGCGCGCCCCCCACAGCCTGGCCCAGGGCGGCCCGCTCCCCCCCTTCCCCCCACTGCAGCAAACCCGCGGGGGAGCAGCACGGATCCCTGGCTAAGCCCCAACAGTGGGGCGAGGGGCTCCCACCTGTCCGGGTTGTCCCTTTGCTGGGGTACCTGGCCCGGGAGATCCGTCGAGGGGCTCCCGACCCGCTCCCCCCTGTCCAGTTTTTGGGGCCCAGGCTCCTCCCTCTTTTATTAGCACGACCGACGTAGCAACCCCCCCAGGGTGCTGCAAAACCCACCGACCCCATGTGCCCCACCGAGGCACCGAGCCGTTGGCTTAGCAAGGGTTGCAAGCCCTCTGCCTTTAGGAAAAAAGAGCAGGAGTTTATACGCTAGGGTAACACAGTGGAGCAACATTCAGGGAGCAAAACTCCGTTATTTTTGCCCCCCCCTCACCCCCCAAGCGTTCAGAAATCAGGTCGCTGCTCCCCTGCAAGCATCAGGTTGGTTTAAAAGTAGCGGGGTTTATTTACCTTCTAGTTTTTGTGCTTTGAGCATTTATACTGAGGAGAGCTAGAAATGTACTGTTTGGTGTTTTGTTTTTTTTTTAATTAAAACTGTAATTTAAAATAGTCACATCATTCCAGGAGCTCTGGCTTTGAGGGAACCCACAAAATCCCATGACTTGGGACAAACACTGTGTTCATTACATTTCTGTTATAACACTACCCGCAGACCCCCAGCGCTGATCATAGTTCCACTGGGTCCAGCGCTGGTCAAAGGCAGGGAAAGTGGCTGTTCCAGAGAACTGATCCTGTCTGTTTTTGCCTGACACTTGCTTGAGCACATATTTTGTTTCAGTAGGATCAGTGGCCCTTTCAGAAAGTGCAGCTCTTTCCCTCTCTGTCTTTCACACTGCCCTCTCTTAAACTGAGACTACAATACCTACCTGCCATCCTACTTGCAGTGCAGTAATTCCTAAAGGAGCCAGGCCCCTGCTGCAAGGCTATCATTAAAATACAGTCCTCGTCCCACAGCACATATAACCTGTGTCTAAGAGAAATGACAACAGACAAGGGTGTTGCTGGCTCATACTGTTTTGCCGAGGTTTGTGTATATAAAACAGCAGAAAGACCAGCGAACACCGAGAAGGCAGGTTTCAGAGTAACAGCCGTGTTAGTCTGTATTCGCAAAAGAAAAGGAGTACTTGTGGCACCTTAGAGACTTACCCATTTATTGAGAAGGCAGTAAGGAAGCACCAACTCTTGGAGTATAGCCCTTTGAATAGCTACAGGGAGTTTTTTGGGCTGAGTGCTGGCTGAAAGTGACTTGACATTGTGAGCAAAGAAAGTGGTTCAGGCTGTTCGGTTCTTTTTGTGTTCTGCCAAACAGAACTTTGTACATTCTTTGTAAACAAACAGGAACACATCAGAGATACCTGACTCCAGCATCAATATCTGCCCCCAATGGACACAACCTGCAAGGTCCTCGACTTTGGCTAACTGCTCTGATCAAAAAGGGGTAACTGTCCTTTGGCAGTAGCCCAGCAGCATAGATGTGTTGCACAAATCTATGATTAGATTTCATCATCAAGAATTTGGCAGACTAGACTCTCCTCCAGCTAGCTTGCCGGAGACCTATTTGGTCTGAGAATAGCGTATTGCATTCATTCGTTTAGATTGCACAGTCTTTGACCCAGAGGGTCTCTGGTGTGCAGATTTCACCTACTGAGCAGTACTGTGTACAGCTATGCTGCTGAATAAGAGTCTGTATGTCTCTCTCTCTCTCTCTCAGAGGGAACATTTGAATCCTCAATAATCTCACCAAGATTAGCACATAGTCTATACACCTGTGATTAATTTAAAGGGCATTACTGTAAAACTTGGCCTCTTCAAATTTGGCAGCAATACACTATATCGAATTGGAGAGCAGCTAGGGTTAGGCTAATCACATCTGTTTTTTCTGCCTCAGACCCTTCAGAAGCAAGCAGCAATTCAGGGGCACAAAAGTTTTGCCCATCAGACTTTCATTCTTCCGCTGGAGAAAATTCTGTTCACCCATCACTTGTATTTCTTATTAGTTGTTCTGCTTGCTTTGTTGTTCTTTGGCCACCATTTGTGCTGACACAGAGTAAGTCCTCCCTGTAAGCTTCACTGAAGCCTGCTTGTAACAGGGTGGTCTGCCCCTTGATGGGCCTGGGGCTAGGCCACCCTCTTCAATTATCCGACCAACATGGAAAGGGATCAATTATAAAAGCCTGCAAGTGGCTGAGGGAGAAAGGGGAACTGCAAGAGAGGGGTTGATGCGGTTCAGTTCAAGGGATTGGCCCTGGAGAAGAAAGAGGGTGGGGAAGAAAAGGTCTCTGAGCCCCTGCGTTTATCAGGGAATAGCTTTATTTGGTGTTCCTTTGTGAGTTTTGTGCTTGAATTCAACAACTCTGCCCCCAGGGAAGAGCCTGAAAGAGACTAGGTGGGGTGGTAGATTTTTCCTAAGCTGGAGGCTTCCCTTACCCGCCCACACTGCTCTTCTATATGTCTGCACTTTTTGATTTTTTTTTTTAAAGGCACATTTCCACAAATCAATAGGCGCAGTGTAACATACTAGCTGGTGTATACTTGTGGGTGTTAAACTGCAAGGTCGCGGCAACGTACGGAAAGTAAAACGCTCTACTTCCAGGGAAAGCAGAGTTTGTGTGTCATAACAGCCTTTGTTTTTGCAGTGAGGTTCTGGGATCCATCGCTGATGCTGCATGAGTGCTGATTAGCTGCACACCATCATGTGTGTATTATTTATGCAGCCCTAGGTTAGGCAAATCAAGATCCCTTTAAAAATAACATGGGGCTTCCACTGTGTGACCGTGCTCAGAGAAGTCATGCTAGTTTGGCTGTCCTAGTCCAAAACCTAGAATCCTACCTCTCTCTTCAGTCTTTCTAGAGGCACCCATGACCTTGGTTGCTGAGCACCATGGTATACCTGAGCATGCAGAAATTCAACTATCAGGAAATTTTCCTTTAACACCAGCGTGACGAAAGAGACTGCGAAACCAAATGCTTTGTATCCAGAGCGGTGACAATTTCATGCTAACAAGAAGGAACACAGAGCAGGGAAGGTACATTTTATTCAGATAAGGTTTTTAATAAAAAGGACGTAAGTTTACAGCTCTAACATTTCTCCATCAAGACTACCAGCAACATAGCGGAATCACACCTGGAGTGCAACAGGACTCCCGTAGTCTGCAAGTCCGAGGTATTTCCAACACCATGCCCATGTCACCCTAATAAAAATGGGATTTAAATGAAGCTCTGGTCTCACAATACACAGCCTACAGTGACATGCAGATTGTATTCCCAGTTATCTGACATGTCCAACTCAGGCTCTCTGTTCCTTAAGAAAGACTTCGCTGTCTTTTTGAACGTCACATTAGGAACGTCTTTCACTATCTTCGTCAATGCTTAGTGGAATCTGCCTCATTCAGATCCACTGGATATTTCCTCATCAGGCTTCTTCACCCAGAACATAATCTACTCTCCCTATACCTGCATAAGATTATGAATCCCTTTTTCTAATTTTCTCTCTTTGGGGGGGGGGGAAGGAGAGAGTAATCTGTGATTACCCCTCTAATTTCACAGGCGGCACATCTAGATTTATTATAACAGTAGAACATTTACAGTACACAACACAAAAACGAAAGGCTGTGGTTTGGTAGGATCACCACCACAGCTCATCATAATTCAGGAATGTGTTTCAAAAGCAGAATAAAAGATTACACGGTGAAAATACTTTGGAGTCTTTGGGTGTCCTAAAGAGGCCTTGATTTAAATAAAAACCCAAACAATAACCAACTCTCCTACAGGACAATCTTTGGTGGAAGCTGAGTTAACGTAACCGATCCCAACTTTGGAGTGACAAAGTCTCACAGTTCTAGAGAGCCCACTCAGTATAAAACTTGCTATATTAAATGTAGCTGAAAACATGCCCCGCTACAGTGTTTCAGGATTGATTACTTGGGTTTCTTGCAAGTTTAGGATCTTCTGTGTGCTCCATGCATATTGTAGATTGCAGATTGAGTGCACGCTGGCTTCAAGAGAATAAGATTGTAAACTCAACACTTAATCACATATAGTATAGTACTGAGCTGGTTGGAAGGGAGAGCAGATGCAGTTACAAGTCTTGGAAGCAGAGCAATAAGATAAAGAAGATGCTGACTAATACGAAAGCAGCTCTTATGGCTATGATCATTGTAAAAATGCGTGGGGAGTGAGATGCACAGAGCTGAGCTGATTGCCTGGCTTAAATTTGCGTGTGCAGAAGCTCTGATTAATCCTTTCCAAAGGAAAGGGTTTAACCAAACTCAAATTTAAATTGGCAGCGAGCTGGGAAACGATGCCCCCACATCCACAATTGTGAATTACAGAAGCTGAAGATTGTCACAGGACTGATTGGTACTTGTCTACACAGCAGCATGAAATCATATTTGGAGTTCTTTCTGTGAGTGCATTTGGAAAGGGGGGGGTCAACCAGGAGAAACCTTATGTGATTTGTGGTACGACATTTGTAGTATGGTTAAAGTCAAGGTGGACAGGGGAGAGGGAGGAAGGAGAATCAGAACAAAAATGACCTTCCCTCATCCTGCTGCTGCTATCATGAAGAGAGGAGTTTTCTCCTCCTTCCTAGAAAGTCAAATAGGGACAGCCACTGAGTTGCAGAGCTTAGAAAGAGCTCCTTGCTCTGCCGATTGCTTAAAGCCAACCAGGAAGTTCACCAAGACCTTGTTTTGTGCAGGTGACCCCCTAAAACAGTGACCATGATGGGATTCCGGGCAGGCACGATCTGCATTGATCCAGTTGCAAGACTGGAAAGGGTACTATTCTCAAAAGTGCCCACGTAGCTTAGGAGCCTAAGGCCCTTGAAATTCAACAGGTCTTGGTTGCTTCTGAAAAGGGATCTTTAACACTTTTGGCCAGAGCCAAAACTGAAAACTGATTGCTGCAATTTTACTGGTTACTGGGAAGTGGCAGAAATAAAAAAAAAGTTTGATTACATTTCTTAAGTTGTGCGTACATTCAGAAAAGTGATTTAAATGGTCACATTTGGATTGTGTAGCTCTGTCTACTGAGCAGTAAAAAAAGTCAAAGCCTTATGAAATCAGGGTTGCCAAAAAACCCAGAAGCTCCATAGTACATTCTGCCACGTGCATTTAAAACAGTGAACTTTAGATGATACAGGGAGATCACAACTCCATTTTTAATTGATCAGGTTGAGGTTGTCATGCTGGCAACTTGAGAGGTGTGTGTGTGTGTGGGGGGGAATGAGTTGATCTGGAAAAATCAGATTAGTAGGGCAACAAGATGCAATTTTCAGAGTTTTCTGATCATAACCAAAATTCCAGTGGTTGGTAGATTGAGCAAAATGAACTCATCTGAACAGAGTGCTCCTGTACGTAGTTAAAACTATTCACCTGTTGGGTTTACTAGCAGGATTGTTAGTTTGTGTACAATTTTAACTTGCTTTTCATAAAAAGTGCTTGAGAAATGAGATGTCAACTGCCAACATCCTGGTTGGAAAATTCAATCCATAACAAACCTAAGTAAAGAAATTGAGGAAAATACTCAGCTGTCAAAGCTACTGTACATTTCCCATTCTCCCTTTCTATCCTACCTGGCAGTGTAAGATAGCTAGATCTGACTTACCGGTAACTCCGGTCTTCCTTACGGACACTAATTGGCAAGAAAGCAAAGAGCTGGATCCTAGCAGGAGTCTGAAGAAGGATTTGCTCATACTTTTCTATCAGTACTTTTCACAAAAGGTCAAGCATTCCAAGTAACAGACATTAGAGCAACAGAGCTCTATAGTAACTTTTTCAAGTAAAAAAAAAACTGACACACCCATAAAATAAAGAACCTAGGTTTGGGAATCCAGTTATCAGCTACAATGGGTCCAGTTCTCATCCCATTTATGCTGGTGTAACTATTTACTGCCATGGAGTGGCTCCTCATTTACACCAGATTCAGGCCCATAGTACCTACATTTCTCCTTCCTTCCCTCCACTACCTCGCCAAGTGAAGTTCACAGTTCAGGGCAAAGTTCTGTCTCCAGGTTCCACGAAGGACCATAACAGGCGATTGCAAAAGTGCAGGGATGAATTTGCGCCCGAATGCTAAGCCTCATCTGTACGCCTTGTATTTCACAGTGACATCGCAGATGTTCCAGGCATTCCGCATTCATCTATTCCAGCAGTAACGCATTTGATAAGTTATTTTTAAAAACAAACAACCAACCAAGCCACCCACACACAAACTATATCCTCAGTTTAGTTGGGGAGAAACATTACATCCAAGAAACTCAGAAACGGGTCTACAGTACTTCCGTTTTCTAGGATGGCTGACAGATTTTGTAGCTGTGGTTTTTCCTAGGCAGACCCTAACTTGAAACACAACAGACAAGCAGCAGGAAGTTGCCCACCTTTTAAAAAAAGGCTCTAAACCTGAGCTAGACTAACCACATCACCGACCGCCAGCAATCTATGCTCCTTATTTTCAAGTATTCTTCCCTCCCCTACCTGAGTATTAAGCACATCAGGTCAAGTTCTTTACCCTTGGTTACTTTCGTACAGCCCCGCTGAAGTCAGAGCTGCACCAGTCCACCAGCAAAATGTGGCTCGTGTCATTCTGACTGCAGTGTGGGTTGGGCAGGGGAAGACGAATTGTGTTTCATTAATCCTCTCCCATTTGGTGGCAGACAAGTTTGTTCTAATTCTCCCTCCCTGGCTGTTATGTTAACAGTGAGCCATAGGACTAAATGTTTTGCTTTGCATAGCAAAGATCTGCTGATATGTAGTTTCAATGTACCTTCTATGTTCCTTGAACAGCTATTTGGGCACCTGGCAGCTCAAAGTCATAGGTCTGAGTTCTTGCAAAGCAGTTTCCCATGAGACTGGAAAGTTTTGTGTTTAAATGACGGGACCCGATTCTACCCTCATTTACACCAGCTTTACACTTGTGAGACTCTGCTGGATTTACAAGTCACACACTGATTGACACCAGTGAGAGAGGAGAACCCCCCCGCTACATACTCTGTTCAATAAAGCTAACAGTTTCTCGGAGGACCTGTCTATCTTGTAAGATGGCAGAGCTTAACACCAGTCCCACACCATCTATTTACAAACTTTTAAAACCTCGGCAAACCAACGCTGTCTTAAGATTTTCCCCCGTGCAAGGCCAGAGAATTCAAGGAGATGTTGAGAGTGTAACCAAGGGCAGAATTTTCCCTTCATTTTCAGTGCAAAGCTCTAGGTCATTTTTATTCAGTTGTCAAATTAAATTGGAAACAAAATCATGGCTACGCTTTTAAGAGCCAGCTCAAAGACTACTGGCGTCAACAGGACTGTCTCCATTGACTTCAAATAGGCATTGGATCAGGCCCTTAGAAAATGAGAGTCGTGGAGACCTTCCCGAGATCGCCCTCTTCTAGGATGTCCACTAGGAGAGTGGCTTCTCTGGATACACCAGGCATTTAAAAAAAGGACACCACTATTAATGATCATCAGCCAAAAGCATCCCTATAGTCCGACATTTAGAAGTGTTTTCTTGGGTGAAATAGCTTGAAAAACAAAACAGATTTGACAGGGACTGCTTTGCTACCTGGTACTTCCCATTAAATGTGGGCACTTATTAATTAAGGATACTTGCCTTTTTCCTTCCTGTGTGAAAAGGCACACTGTGAGACTAACAATTCCTGAAGAGGTCAACTGTACTCCTGCTCAGCCACCAACCGTAACATGACAAATATCACAATGAACTTCCACACTAAACAACTACATTTTCCCCTAAACTCAAGTGTGATACACTAACGTTTTAAATTATATTATAAATACTAAGCGACTGTTCTTTTCCTTAGTAACACAGTAGGATCATGGTATTTCTGGAGCGTAGCCAAATGTGACAGGAAGAATGTGTCTGAAAGATTGCTATGCCGATACTTCCAGTCATACGTACCTGATCCCAAAGAGCTGATCCAAAGCTCATTGAAGTCCTTCCATTGACTTCAACAGGTTTTGGATCAGGTCCATAGAAAGATACATTTTCATGTATTACACCTGCAGACAGTGAAAATTGCCTATTACATCTGCAATGAGTAAAACCTGCCTATAGGCAAGAAGGCCAACAGAGGGCCTATGCAATACTTAAAACAGGTCTTCTATGGTGCAGAGGTCTTGTGGCAGACTAGTGGCACGTGTCAATTTTACTCCACGTGCATATGATAAACACACACACACACACTCTCTTCATCAAGTTCCCAATCTACAGCTCCTGATTTTGTGATGACATTGATTAACCGTTGGGAAGAGTTGTCCTTTGGTCTCTTCCAGAATTCCCCTTGGTAAGAGGTGGGGCCGGGTGGGGAGGAGGGGGGAAGAGAATCATGACAACCTTTCTACTTCAAACTCATTTCTTCTCCAGAGCATTAGCTTGTCCTGATTGATTTGCTCTAGCATCCTAACTGTATGCTAGTATCAGTGGTAATTCATTTTATCCCCGCTGGATTTCCCCCCACTGAAGCCAGAAAGTATGGAGTATTACCGGTTTAAATAAGAATCTAAAAAAATACTGGGGAAAAACAGCAACTCAAAAAGGATGCGGAAAACCTCGAGAGCCTGGCATTCAATATCCTGAAACTATCTAACATAACTTAAAATGGCTTAACTGAGTATCAAATAATATTTGAAAAAAATATTGCTATGTTGCTTGTTTCGACTAAGAGATTGAAGGTCCTGTGAGATATGCACACACCCCATTTCTCTCAGACTGTTTAAGGCTTTTGCTTTCCAGATTTGGAAGGAAAGGGTGCTGAAGCAAATGGGTCAATGCTGGGTAGCTCTTTAGTCCTGGAAGACAGAGAAGCAATAGAGACAGATCCTGCGATAGCCTGTTTGTTGGTCTGAGAAACCACTTTGTATGCTGCTATGGGTTGGGCTTCCAGACCCTGCCCATCTTCCGGACTGTAGTGACGGGAATACTTTGATAGAGACTGTGGACGGAAAGGCTTACTAACCATTGAACCCAAGACGGCTTCTTGGGGGAGTGCATGTCCTTGGTTTTTATCATTAGGAATGCAACCATGATCTTTAAATGTACCTTTGGGAGGAATGCCTTCTTGGGTCTCTACTGGTCTTATGGAATGAGGCGGAAGGTTGGCTGGCTGAATAAACCCTACCCTGGAGTACTGAGCGCTAGATGAGACAGACAATCCGCATGTTCCTGTATCCAAGTTTCGGAACTTGAAGTTATCTACATGTTGGACATCACCAGTTTGACCTAGGAAAGAGGCTGGAGCGTGAGGCTCCTTAGAAACGTTATGAGAAGTCAACTCTTCCAAGCTTTTCTTTTTTGTGAAAGGGGCACGTAGGAATACATCTGCCTCTTCTGGCTGCCTGACAGACACATTGCTCTTGGAGATGAAGGGAGCTTTGGTAAAGATGTCCAGCTCATCATGCACTATTCTTGAGCTTCGGAAAGGAGCTGTGGCAAAGACATCTGGCTCATTGAAAATCTCTCCGGACTGCTGCTGAAAGGCTGTAAACAGAGCTTTCCCCCTCCGGCTCTGGGAAGGCTGGGGCTTGGAATCTTCTTTGGAAGCCATACATTTTTCCTTGAGTGTGGATTGCAACTTACTGGACTCCTCTTCTTCTTCTTCTGAGTCCATAAGTAAAGGCCTGGACCCACTACAATCCAAGATGTCCACCTCATGGTCTGTCCCCTCTCCCTCACTGCTGTGGAAGGAACTGTTGCTTGAAGGCCCACCTCTTGTGAAGTAATCAGATTCCGAATTGTGCTGAGTTTTCGCTTCGAGCATCTCAGGCTGGCCTTTGTACAGAGGAAGTACATCGGTAGCAGCAGACAGTTTACTGTGCTCAGTCGTTAGGTCAGGATATACAGCTTGTTCTCTCTGCAAACCTATAAGAACAAAACAAGAGCATTATGACTACATGGATATAGCCCCTCGAGTAAACGCAAAAGAAACTTAACCACATCAGAAACGTCATGATGATCAGATATAAACTGCCACACATGGAAAATGGGAAAATAAAATTAAGAACAGGCAAGGCATTCACTGTACACCAACTGGAAAAAAAAAACCAACAAAAAAACCAAAGAACAACTCAGCACTTCCTAACAATTAAGGACACCACAAGTAAAACATGTTAAAAAGAGATGCAAGATGTTAGAGACGCATACATTCCAATTCAACATTCCCTCCTGATGCCGTTCTATGAGGATCTTTTTAGGTCACCCACAAGAACCACAACCTATGTGGGTTTTTGTTTCAGAGAACTGCTGTCTAGAGTGAAGTACCAGTGAACAGACAGGTCTTGGTATAATCAACCCTGCCCATTGACATAACAGCCCCCTACGTGCAAATAGCAGTAGAGTAGAACCTCGATTTTACAAATACCAATCTTACAAATGACTTCTTATATTAACCATCTTTCCTGACGGGGAGGGCGGAAAAATCATAAAACAAAAAATGTCAATGAACAACAAGTTGACATCATTCACTTTCTGATGCGTTCAGTGCCTTGCAAATCACTTTGCAGTGGCTTGAAAAACAAAAACGAACAACAACAACAAAGTGCACCACACTGCAACTTATGCACCATGAGGTCTTATGCACTATGAGGTCTTCAATTTTATGAACTCTTGGATTTTATGAATGCCTCAATTTCCAATTAGCTCATCAAATAGGGGTTCTACGGTATATTGTTGGGCATTTTTTAAATATTTAATTTTGTTTCTGGGAGCGGACTCACAGAAAAGTGACAATACACTTAGGGCATGTAAAATACACACACTGACGTCCCTTACTGTGAAAGTAGTAGGTGTTTTAAAAGAAATAAACGTGTTCCCCTTAGCAAGGATTTTGTATCAAATCTGGTAATTTTCACAATGGTATTCAAGCCATTGCAAAACAGACAGTGTTAAATTTAAACAACCCTATATAATGATTACAAATGAAATATCTAACATGACCCTAATGGACTAGCTTGGTTCTAGGTGTTAGTAAGACATTACTAATGAAGGAAGAAGTGGACACTTACTATCCTGCTGTCTTCTAGTTACAGAAGCCCAAGAGTTGGCTTGTTTTTGCCTTATGAATCACACAGACAGTTATCAGAATACAAGATATCTTACCTTCAAAGAACTATTAGCAGGTTAGAAGTATGTCATTGGACTCATGTTAGCAAGAGGATAGGAAAAAGGCACATGAAAAACTAAGCAGTATAGATTCCAGACAAAAAGATTTGCGTTTTGGTAAGTGATATTCATCGAGCGATAGGACAGAAAGATGCACCAACACTTCCTTTTGCTTTAAACAAAACATCTCACAGTTTTGAAAACTTGCATGATCACCCCCTCCTCCTGCCAACCTCTGCGTATATTAAATATGGAAACACGCTGAACTTCAGGGCATAAAACAGATAATAGATTACACCCATTTCTCATAATTAAAGACACAATACTCAGACAGCCAAATGATTGTTTATTGGGAAACTTTCACTTAAGAAACATTACACTGTAAAGTAAAACAGTGTAGATATAGGTGAGCATTTTCTAAGATACTGTACAAAAATACTGTCTACCTTCTCTGAAGCGTATGTTGTCAGCAATGATTTAAACTTAAATACTAATCTCAGTTCAACTATAGTAACAAAAAGGCCTAATTATAGATTTTTTTTCCCCTCCTTCCAAGAGGTTGATTATATATTTCCCAAGCTGGGTGCTGTTGTGTGATTTTTAAAGCAGCAGCTGACAAAGACCAAGACTTGGAGAAGCCTTTCTGAATTATGCAGTTACATTGGAACATGATGTGGTACAGGAAAATAAGAAGGAAAAAAAGAGGGCCATGAGCATGTATCATCACAGATGTAACATACATGCAAATTACACTATAATCTTATAATGCAAACTATTCAATATTTCACTAGACAAATCATTTTACCAGAATGATTTTTCTTCCTTCAGTGTTATCTACATAATAAGCATGTATCTACAATCACTGTGTACAGAGTATGATCTATAAAAAGGTAGAGATGGGAGGGAAAACAGGTGCAATATGATTTAAGCCCCAATCAGTTAAGGACAGTAGCAGCAACCATCTGAACAGAATATGGGGATAGCACCGGATAAGTACATTGTCAAGGTTAGGAAGGTAGCATAATTTGTTCCATGACATTCTGCTCTCTGCCTTTGTTGTTAGCTTCCGATAGGCAAAGCAGCTGCCCTGTGGCAGCTATTCCAAACTATGGGCTGTCAGGGCAGCTGCAGTTTGTGCACGTGTCCTGTCCAAGGCTTTCAGCCCATGCCAGACCAGTGGCTCTGGGCTAGGCCTACATCCTGCAGAGACGCATGCAAGGGAATTAGAAGCTCTCCTGGGTAGCCACTGCGCCTTCCACGCCTCAATACCTCACTCAGGCTTAAGTGTGGAGGGCCATGTACATTCGGGAGTGAAATTCACCTCTGTAGAAGACCAAGTCAAGGCCTCTGCACCATTTAGTGAGACTTAAGTGCCCAAAACAGTGCTTATGCAGAGCCTAGATCTTGTGCTGGCCTCTTGCACCGGGGCCAGTTTCACCCTGAGCCTATGTAATAGTTGCTGGAAGGTACTACAAGAATTAGATCATATTAAAGATTTTAAAGACAAACAAGTATGTATAGGTGTGCCACTTGAGATGCCACGTGTCGACAGAAATGGAGTTCTAGGCAAGCGTACAGTGGTTGCCATCAGAATCTCAACATTTGCCAATGGTTACCACACCAGTACCTATGCTATCACACTTGTTTCCTATTCTAACTACAAGTGGGGGAAACCTGGCTCCCCAACACCATTATGAGTTGACGGTCCTCTGATAGGAGCTGTTCTTTTTTAAATGGCCAGCCACTGTATTCTAGCATATTGCTATCATATGACAAATAAAGACTAGCAGAAATGCAGTAAAGGTATACAAGTCTGAGGTGCCACCTTGGCTTAGCTGGGACAGCACTGTCCAAGAGAGGGGCCAGCCACCCCTCAGTGTAACTTCTGATGGTTCAATGCTTTTACAAGGTAATTAACATTTTAGTTGTGAGGGCGATATTAACAGAGAAGGACAAAGATCTACCATAATTCATCACCAATGGAAATTTTCCTGCATCTTTTCCTGAAGGAAGAAAATGTGAAAATTTTGAGCGGTACCCTTTAAAATTAATCAAATCAATCACTCGGCCCCACAATGGATTCAACATTGATGAAGGATCCAGGCCCATGTTCTAAGTTCTCTGGTTCTCTCCGTGCATTTCACCAACACTAAGAGAAGAGTAAGGATGAGCTACAAGAGTAGCAAGCGCACCACTCCCGTCACCAACAAAACAAGAAGATGCCAAGCTTTGTTAAAATATTTAGGGGTGTCCCCTTTTGGACAGGGGCAGTAAACCAATGGGTTTGTTCTTACAGCTATATAAAAATGATTTAAGCGAGTTAAAAAAATATAGGGAGATAGGCTAAACTTACAGACTCTGAAGTGCTCAAGGTCTGCATGAGGGTGGTGTAAAAGTTAACAAGCTACTCTATGACAGGAATAGGGAGGCAGTTCTATTCGGCCCAAGCCCCAGGTTTTGTCACTGATTAGTCTGGAGGAGCATGCAATGTAAACATTAGTGCAAGTGGATCCTTTAAGTTAGCTACTGTAGATAGTCTCCAACATGATGGGTGGTCCAACAATTCCCATTCCAGGTCAAAGAGAGAGACCAAGGTGACTGAGGCACTCAAGGGAAGGAGATTTCTATTTTAAAAGGGTACCAGCCATATCATTCTATGTCATGGGTGAAGGGCAGAAAGGACCATTCCACAAATAGCTGTGGTTAGAATGTAAAAGGCAGGCTTAGTGAAACTACGACAGTGCTGCTAGCTTTGAAATCCTGCCCATTTTATTTCACGGCACCGTTTCCAGGCACACTATCGGTAAGCAAGCTGAACAAGATGCCTGGTTGCCTTTTATGAACACACGGAACACCCACAATCTCCACACAGCAGTTTCTTGGCATCCTCTACAGGTCCAGTGGCCAACCTCGATGAAGTTGTGCAAGAATGGGATGCACACAACCTCTTTTTGTTGGGAGATGGTACTCTAACACTTTAGCATGCCGAGAAATACACTGCCATTGGACAGCTGCCCTTACACAAAAGCTAGAACTATGTTTCGATAACTTGTTCCCCCCCCTCGTATACAATACATGGCAGAAATTTTTAGACTTAAAACGTTGTACTAAAGAAAACACTTCAAGAAAATCAACTTGCTTTACCTTCTTCAGAGAGAAGGTAAATATTAAAAATATACATTCTGGGATAGATCAGGATCTGCACAATGCCGCAGTGTAGAATACTCACAACAAACAGATGTAGTGCACATAGCTACAGTAAGTATAGACACACAAAAAATCAACTTTAAGTGATAAATGCTGCTTTGAGACTTTAGTTTGAATAGATTAGCAATACATAAAACCTGTAATAACCTTAATGCTTATTGTGGGCGAGAGGGAAGAGACAGCTTGTTACAGGTTAGAATATCAACACTTGAACGGCTTTCTTCTTTTTATGAACCTTGTGCAGTAATTGCAAGATACTAAAATAATTAAGGCAAGAAAACAAAACATACACTGAACAGCTTTCGCCGTCGGCTAGGACGGCTGATCCAATACACTTTCAAGTCAATGGGAAACTTTCCATTGACTTTAATAGACACTGGATCAGGCCCTACAATTAGAACCTTTGAAAGAATACAGGTATTGCCAGAACGGAGGTTGCCTTTCCATGGAGTAATTCCGCTTGTTTTGTCCCGAACATTTTATCGAGACAAAGCCATAAAGATACTATCGTCTGATGTTGACTGGGTAAAACTAATACAATAGCTGGAACACAC